TCGCCAGTTCCAGAGGCTATTTTGAGTACGGGGAGCTGGCTACCGCCAGCTCCCTTTCCTCAAAGAATTCACCTCTCGGTGGCCACCCCTCCAGGGTGGCATTCAGCCCTAGTGGGCCCGCCAGCGACAGAAATTCGGACCCTAGGCACGGAGAGTTTGTGTCCCAGGGTCTAGGACCAACGACGTCATCAGGAAACACCTCTTTATTTTATATTTTTTGTTTTTCTCAATTCTGATTCTCATAGAATTATAGCCATATATAGATGTAAATCTACAACAGATCTGTGATCTTAGGTATATGCAAAGCTTTTTTCCAACAACTGGAAATTTGATTATTTTAGGAATTATTTTTTAATATATCCTTTAAAATTATATGAGTCAACTATACTATATTGTTTCTTCTTTATTCAAAAATATATTCCAATTTGCAGCAGTTATCTCCATTATTATTGATAGATATAGAGTCTCCTCCTATCTATGATAAAGGACTCTCTATGAAGATCTAGATATTATTTCTAAAATAGGTAGCCTTTCAACTTGTCTATATCTACTGGTGTGCTTAAATTTTATTTTTAATCTTTCTTTTCAGCTCCTTGAAGAGAACTGGGTTTTATAACAAACTGGGGCTGTTCTGCACTAATAGGGCTGTTACATTTTATTAATTAATGAGCTTTCATCCTTTTGAACTTTGTATTGTACCTGTTATTCTAACACTAGTTAGAATGAAGAAGAATGAAACAAGGCTTGGAACATTCTCTTTCTTATTTATTTAATTTACACACACACCTTCTATCTGGGACACCTTACTCTTCCTATTTTCCCCACAACAACAGCTTTGTGAAGTGGATTGGATTGAGAGAGTGACTGCCCAAGATCACCCAGCTGGCTTTTATGACTAACGCAGGACTTGAACTCATGGGCTCTTGCTTTCTAGCTTGGTGCCTTAACCACTAGACCAGGGGTAGGCAACCTTGGCTCTTTTATGACTCGCGGACTTCAACTCTCAGAATTCTTGAGCCAGCCAGCTCAGGAATTCTGGGAGTTGAAGTCCACGAGTCATAAAAGAGCCAAGGTTGCCTACCCCTGCACTAGACCAAACTGGTGATTCCCTGCTTCTTGGAACATAGAACAGAGAATATAGAATTGGAAGGGACCTTGGAGGTCTTTTAAGTCCAATCATCTGCTCCCGCAGGAGATCCTTTATTATTTCAGATAAATGATTGTCCTGTTTTTGAAAGTGATGGAGCACTGACAACTTCTGAAGGCAAGTTGTTTCATTGGTTGATTGTTCTCATTGTTAGGAAATTTCTCCTTAGTTCTAGGTTGCTCTTCTCCATGATTAGTCTTGCCTTTTGATGCTTTGGAAAATAGTTTAACCCCCTCATCCTTGTAGGAGCCTCTCAAATATTGGAACACTGCTATCATGTTTCTCCTAGTCCTTCTTTTCATTAGACTAGATATACTCAATTCCTGTAATGGTTCTTTATAGTTTTAGCCTCCAGTCCCCTAATCATGTTTTTGCTCTTCTCTGCAGTCTTTTCAGAGTCTCAACATCTTTTTTATATTGTGGTGATCAGAACTGGATGCAGTATTCCAAGTGTGGTCTTACTACAGCTTTGTAAAGCAGTTCTAGAATTTCATGTGATCTTGATTCTATCCCTCTATTAATACAGCCTAGGATTGCATCGGCTGTTCTGGCTGCTGCAGCACACTATTGGCTCATATTTAAGTGATTGTCCACTAGGACTCCAAGATCTCTCTCACAATTACTGGCATTAAGCCAAGTTTTACCTAGCCTGTACCTATACAGTTGATTTTTCTTGCCTAAGTGTAGAACCTTACTTTTATCTACACTGAATTTCATTTTGTTAGATAAGGCCCAGTCTGTCAAGATCTTTTTGGATTTTGAACTTGTCTTTTGATGTGTTGACTATTCCTGCCAGCTTAGTGTCACTATATTTGATGAGTTCCCCTTCTATTCTCACATCTAGATTGTTTATCAAGATATTGAAGAGCATTGGGCTCAAAATGGAACTTTGGGATACCCAACTGCTTACTTCCCTCCATGTGGATGTAGTTCTGTTGAGGACTACACATTCAGTATGATTTCTCAGCCAGTTACAAACCCACCTGGTGGTGGTGCTGTCTATCCCTTATTTTTCTAGCTTTCCAAGAAGTAGATTGTGATCTACTTTATCAGATGCTTTACTGAAATTTAAGTGTACTATATCCACAGTATTTCACAGATGTATATAATTAAATCATATAATTAAATCACTTTGATGAAGAATGAAAATATTTGTTTAGTGTGATCTGTTTTTGATGAACCCATGTTGGCTATTGGTTATAACTTTATTTGCTTGTAGGTGTTCACAGATTTGTTGTTTGATTATTTTTTTCAAGATCTTCCCGGTATTGATGTCAGGCTGATTGGTTTGTAATTTCCTGGATCTGTTTTTCCCCCTTTTTTTTAAAGGATTCAGCATAGTACTAAGTAATTAATTTTTTATTTTTCCTTTTATTTAAACTTATGAACAATTTTATCCCACTCTTCAACAGAAAATATTTCTACTTAAACAAAAGATATGGAGAGTATCAAGTTATCCCTTAGTCAGTGAGACAATTCTGAATATCATGGGACCAGAAAATATGTTATTTTCTCAAAGAGATTAGCTCTGTGGGCATATTGGTAAAAATTAATTTACTGACTATAAGATATAAGTCAGTAATTTATGGATATAAAAAATCTGCATACCCCTGTTAAAATTCCAGACTTTTGATATGGAAAATATTTTTTTAAATATAACATAAGCTGGACAATTCAACTGAAAAACAAATGGAAATATTTTATAGGGAAGGACAATAAAAATGTTTAGTAACCTGGCTGCATAAGTCTGCACACTCTCTTATAAGTAGGGAGATGGCTCTCTTCAGAGTTAACTATACACATTCAAACTGATATTAAATAGTCAGTACACACCTGCCATCAAGTAATGTGACTCTGATCAAGCCCATGTAAAGTTCAGATGTTCTACTAGGATTTTTTTTACATTAACTCAGTTGTCTTTTAAAGCAGAAACCATGGACTGCAAAGAGCTTAGGAAGCATCAAAGGGATCTCATTCTGGAAGGTATCAGTCAGGAGAAGGGTACAAAAACATTTGCAAGGCATTGTATATAGTATGGAATCTAGCCAAAACAAAATATAGCACAACAGTGACATTACCAAGAACTGGATGTCCCTCCAAAATTGATAAAAAAAAAACAAAAAGAAAACTGGTCCAAGAAACTGCCAAGAGGCCTACAACAACATTAAAGGAGCTGCAGGAATTTCTGGAAAATACTGGTTGTGTCTCCCATATTCTTCATATTCTAGGCTGTAGAGTAGAGTAGCAAGACAGAAGCTTTTTCTTACAAAGAAAAACATCCTAGCCCAGCTACATTTTGTAAAAATCTACATCAAGTATGACAAAAGCATATAGGAAATGATGTTATGGTCTGATGAGACCAAAGTTAAACTTTTTGGCTATAATTCCAAAAAATATGTTTGGCTGAAAAACAGCACTGCACATCACCAAATATACACCATACCCACAGTGAAGCAGATAGTGGCAGCATTATGCGTTTGGGTTGCTTTTCTTAAGTTTTAGTCAAGATGAGGGAATTATGAATAGTTCCAACTAGTGTAGTCAATTTTGGCCCAAAACTTTCAGGTCTCTGATAATGCTGAAGATGAAGAAAATTTCAACTTTCAACATTACAACAACCCAAAGCTACCTTCAAATCAATTGAAAAATGGCTTTCCTAGTTTTGGAATGGCCCAGCCAGAGCCTAGAACTGAATCCAATTGAAAATCTGTGGAGTGATCTGAAGAGAGCTATGCACAGGAGATGCCCTTGCAATCTGACAGATTTGGAGCACTTCTGCAAGAGTGGATTAAGATTCCCAAGGCAAAATGTGCCATGCTGATAGAGTCCTGTCCGAAAAGACTGAGCACTGTCATAAAACCAAAGAAGTATTAGTTTAAGGGTGTGCACACTTAGCGCAATAACATTATTATAAAGTTTTATTTTTTCCCCTGAAAAGATTTCAGTTTGTTTTTCAACTGAATTGTACAATTATATATTATATTTATATATTATTGTAGTTAAGATATGTTATTAGGATATGTAGTTAAGATATGTTATTAGGATATGTTACTGGTTTTGGCTAGTGTAGTGAAAAGAAAGAGTAGGGGTGACATGATAGCAGTGTTCCAATATTTGCGGGGCTGCCACAAAGAAGAGGGAGTTAACCTATTTACCAAAGCACCAGAAGACAAGACAAGAAACAATGGATGGAAATTAATCAAGGAGAAAAGCAACCTAGAACCAAGGAGAAATTTCCTAAAAGTGAAAACAACAGTAGAATGGTTTCCTTTCAGAAGTTGTGAATGCTCCATCACTGGAGGTTTTTAAGAAAAGACTGGACAGCCACTTGTCTGGAATGGAATAAGGTCTCCTGCTTGAGCAGAAGGTTGGATTAGAAGACCTCCAAGGTCCTTTTCAACTCCATTATTCTGTTCTGTTCTATTAAAAGTGGAAAAAATTCTAAAGTGATTTATCTTGGTCTGATTTTTTTTTACATCCCCAAAGCCTGACATTTTAACAGGGATGGAGTTTCTATATCCACTGTAGATATCTTCTATGACCTGAATAGTACCCCTAAAAATTTATCTATGCACATTATTAAAAAAAGGAAGGAGTACTCCTAGACCTTTAAACTATCTTGTGGTAAAAAGGATACTTTTTGTGACCATGTCACAATTTTTGATCTTAAAAAAGGAATGTAGAGGTTTTAGTTGTAATTTAGCTATAGTCCATTTTAGATTATGTGAATAATTTATTTCAATAACAAAGCTGGCGTTAAAAATAATTTCAGCTATAAACTATTAAATTTCAACAACTTCAATTCTGTATTATAAAGTAGGCTTTGATAGGAAAGTCTGATGAGCACACTTACCTGTTTTAGTTGATAAATAGACTTGGAATGATCCCCACCAGTGATCTGATCCAGCAAGTCATCTACTATTTTTTTACTATAGGTTCCAGAATCTTTCACAAATTCTTGAAGACTAAAAGAAATTCCAGTGTAAAACAAATATCAGATGCATTCATTTTGCTTTTGACTATCTTTCTTAGGTATTTTTAAAGCTGTTCTCTTTGTTATTTATATTAGCTTCTAAATGAATTGGGTTCCTTCATATGCTAAGGCCGTGTATATTGCTAACACTGTTATAGGATCAGGGGTTCAATATTGCAGTTCAACAATCTTACCTTAAAGCACATTGAATCCCAGTCTCATCCCCATATGCTGAATATAGCAGTTCCATTTCATCCATTTTCAGATCATGAAAGATAGAGTGATTTTGCATTGAAACCACTGTATTAGCACTTGAAAGAAATGTAACTGGAAATATAAAAAATGTGTTTAGAATATTCAAAAAAGAAGATGTAACTCTTGGGCTTTATATATATATATTACAATAAATAACTAGTTATACTTTGGGTTCTGTGATAGTGTGACTCCTAAAATTATAAATCAATTTGTGCAATTTTTCCAAAGAATAAAGAGTCTGGTGAAAGAATAAGACAGAAAACACTAGAGTCTTTTGAAGTTATCATCTAAGTATTGTTCATAAACAATCCTACAAGGTGTTTTCTCTTATTTTAATGCCAACCTCTCTCTTATTATCCCATACTTTTGCGACATTTTCAGTGGAATCTTCTTGGAGCAGGACTTTTGATCTTTGATATTCTGCAAAGCTCAGGCAGTCTAAAGACACTCATTATAAATCAAAGTCAAGGCAATAAACAGCAGCCAGCCTGGAGAAGCAGGGAAGTGGTGATTTTCAACCAAGTTCATCCTTTCTTCTTCTTGCCCAGCTGTTTATATTGAGAATCCTGATCATCAGACATGGGTATTTTATATCCCCTGATCACATCTGGCCCTTTGGCTATATCTGTTTGGCCCGAGTGAAATCAATCATAAATTAAAAATCAAATATAAGTAAATGTATGCCTATAGTTTGTATAACTTCAATTTACACAAAATTGTTCTTTATTTTATAAAAGATTCGGAACACTGCTGAGATTCCACACATGCAAAAGGGGTGGATAAATTCTTCCTCTTTGCCAATTTTATCCAATATAGTAAACTTGAACCATTTATCATATTCATTTAATGTTTTCATCTGGAGTTACTTCAGGTAATTTTTTACCTACTGTATTTTCTGGAACATCTCAGAAAATCAAGGAGCTGTTTAGGATCAACATGAAGGGAGACATTATTAAGGATCAATGTTATCTGGCAGACTAGTGATTGCTGAGTTTCAGAAACTTACAATATATTTATTAGAAATGCCTTGCAGATTGCAAAGTCCTAAGCACTGTCTAAAAGCCTTATGTACCTATCATGCATTTGCAAGAACCATCTTAACTGGCCTTAGCTTCAATTAATATCAACATCTTTCCATGACAAGGGGCTAATAAAAATGTTCCTCAGATCATATTTATCTACGCCATGGTAAAGGTCAGATCAAATGCATGGCCAATTATGTGGTTTGTCTTGGCAATAATCTGGGACAAACCCCCAGCTGTCATGGTAGCCATCAATTTCCAGGTTATCTGTGGCCCCAGACAGGAGAGGATAAAATTGCAGTGTCTGGGTGAATCCATAACCATTCCACAATGGGACTGAACAACTCAGGATGGGATACTGTCATCAATCTGTGAGAAAGATATAAGAGCAGCATTCATGTTTTTTCTTCTGGCCCAGCTTCACAAATATGGTCTCACGTGTGGTTATAGCTCTTTAGAACAGCCAGTTTCCACATACAATGCCATATCATCTCCCTGCTCCAGGGTCAGAACTAATGCAAGATATGGAAATTGTCTGGATGGATTTCAGTGCAAAAGATTCCCAGCTCTTTGATCAGCCAAGTCTCACTGACATATGCCAGATTGGGCCTCTCATCCAAGTCTCACTGACATATGCCAGATTGGGCCTCTCATCCATGACTAAACATTAAATAATGGATATCGCTAATTTTATTGTGAGCAGATCTATATGCAAAAGTGTAGGCCTGAGTTCAGTGACCCCAGAAATTTGTTTGGCTGTCTTAATTGGAGGATCAAAAGTAAAGATTGATATCACGTTTATAATCTCTTTTCTTTTGGAATGGCCTACCACCATCTCTCAGAATACTAATACATCTGCCCATTACTAACATTAACTGCCTCTCTGTCTTTACTTTGACTCTATCTCCCAGTTACCTCCAGGTCATTCCACTCCCATACACTCCCAGTTACTCCCGGTCATTTCACCTATGTGAAAAAATAATTCCTACCAAGTGCAAACAAATCACAATATCAAAAATTTTCATGTGACAGCTATATCAAATTTACCATAATTTCCTACAATATCCAAAAACATTCCTTTCCCTCCTTACCCCCTACTCATCATCTCCAGCAAGCTTTCAGCCAGCTGGGTCAGAATGAAGTAAAAGACCTTGTTCCCTGATTTCCCATTCCAGGGAGGAGTTCCTCTTTTCCAATTCTGTGACTCACACAAATAGCCAGTAGCTTTGTTCTTTTCTTCTTCTGTCCCTGATTACTCTGTTTCTTCTCCAACATTCTCCTATATCTAAAAAGTAAGGCCAAAGCCACTCTTTTCTCCTCCATTTTATTAGAAACAGTTTCATAGGCCTCCTACATATTCAGCTTGTCTGGCATAAATCATGTCATCTGATATATTTCTTGACTTTTTCACCCTATCCAACCCACTTACTCCTCTCATTCCCCATCCCACAAGAGTCAAACAAGTTAGAAACTTCATCTCTACTCTCTAATAGTCTAGTTGAGCAATATTCTAGCAAGAATTTTAATCACCATTGATGGGCTTCTTGCCTTTGGAAACAGCATTCTAAATTGCAGAACTCCTAACTTGTTCAGCTGTGTGATACTTATGGCAATAACCTCAACATTCCAACAAAGCTATCTCCCTGGAGATTGTTCTCTTCCTGCTCACTAGGGCCTCCAACTCCAACTTTATAAACTTTAAAAATGATAAAGTCTTCAGAGATGGTAAAAATATTAATTTCCTCTTTTCCTCTTTTTTCCACATTACAGCTTGCAAACTTCATCTTGGACAGCTAAAAAAACTAATAACACAAGTTAATAAATTGTCAACATACAACCTTTACATATTCAGTCAGTTTCCATTTTTCTCTTTTTTCACATTTGATAAAGTTTTAAAATTATTTAATTGTACTGTGATGCATGTTTTCTGAGCCAAGGACAGAATTCTGACCATGCCACTGAAATATGTCTTTAGTTCAGCGAGGAACTACAGATAAGCATTCTTTGGTTTTTAAGCCAGTTATGGACACCACAAAGACTTTTGTATGCTTGAGAAAAGCTTGCATTATGGTACCTACATCCAAATGAAATCAATCATTCACATTGCAATGAGACCTACAGGACCAGACTACCTGAGTCACCGGATATTTAGTAATTACATTCTAAAAAAATTCAAAATTAAATGAAAAGAATCTTATAAATATGAATACAAATGTTTAATCTTATAAATATAAACATTCTTTGCATCACAGAACTTACCTTTATGCCTTCTTTCATCTTTGAAGCCTAATGCTGTAAAACCAGGTAGTAATTTGCTGGATAGAGAGCTCAGATCCACTGGATGGCTTTCCTCCTCTACTTTCAACAATAAACATATAAATAAATGTTTAGTAAGTTTTTGAAAGTTATAGGATATTCTGACACATTATCATGGATTTTAAGAACTTCTGCCTGAAATTACTAAAAAGGCTATTCAGAAATTGTTAATATTTTAAAACAGTATCAGTTTGTTTTAATATGTTAGTAAAGAACAACTGAGCTGCAGAAAATAAAATTTGATAATGAACAAAAATAAAAAATGTTATTAGGTTATATAGTTAAGCAAAAAAGAATTATTTTTCTTTTTTTTCAGCCTTGTCTTTTTTAAAACTACAACAGAGGTGTATTTTCAAAAAAGATCTATAAATAGATAATGACTGAAATTATACAATTAATGCTCGATAAAACATTACTTATATCAAGCAGTATACACTGAATTGTCTTTATGATATGAAAAGAAAGTATACATTTTAGTTTAAAATCTTCACTATATTATTAGTTATAAATGTAAAAAAACACTCCTAAAAATAATATAGATCAGTATTTGATTTTTGACTTCCCCCTTCTTTGTAGTACTGAACTTTCTAAACTTTAGAAACTGTTCTCTAAAGAATTTATTTCTTTTACTAAAACGAAGAGTCAAATATGTTGCATTAACTGAGAAATTGATGCAAGAAAACTAATGAACAAGTTAATTTTGACATTACTGAATGAATGAATCAAGAAATTGAACATGTAAAATATGAAATTGCATTAAAGATAATTATTAAAATATAATTAGCAATATAAACATGAAAGAGTTTGACATATAATAAACTAAATTGTTCGGTTAACCAATAAATGTTGAAATACAAGTTATAATTCAAGATTACCTAAGAAAATGAAAAATAAAATTAAAGCTTTATGTAGTAACTTCAAATGATCGTTCCAATCAATTTTAGATGTATGCTTTAATTAAAGAGGTCACCCCAACTGACCTTCACGGTCTTTTTGCTCCTCCTACTGAGAAAGCAAATACGTATCTTGGCTGCTAGGATGGCTTGGGGCTGAGTTTTGTGCTATGACCTTACTATTAAAGCATATTTAATATTCAAATGGAGTTACCTATGTCTATTAAATAAAGATGAAAACATTATACATTTTCTTTTGGTAAACAAGGTAAAAGCACAAGCTTAGTTATGCATAATTAAAAACATATTTACAATGCAAAATATAAACTATTACAATTATCTGAAAATTACCTTCTGTTTCAGGATCTGATGGATTGAGTACACTGAAGATCAAAGATCCATCAGTGTTCTTTTTCAGGTAGCCTATCTGTATTTAAGTATAACAAAAGCAGAATCAGGGTTTTTTTTAATGTTTCCTGTTTAATCAGTAAATATTAACAGATACTAAGAGATCTGTTAGCACAGGAGTCCCCAGCCCACAACCCACTAAATGGCTGTGTTACATTGGAATTGGGACGTGCGAGAGGCAGACCGGCGCACACGAGGGTACAGCTCCACTCTCGCGAGTGGCGGGCTGGTGCGCATATGTGCACAACTCCATTTGTACAAGTGGCTGGCTGGCATGCACGCGTGTGTGTGTGCCTGCCCACTGTTCGTGTGAGTTGAGTTGTGCATGCTCATGTGCACTGACCCGCCACTCGCATGGCCCAGTTCCCTTCTCCCCAGCCCTACTGCCATGTTGATGTTGAATGTGTCACTGAAAGAAGAGCCGTGCCTATGCAATCTAATAAATAACTTCTTGAATAGGATATGAATATTTCTGTTCTTAAATATAATATACAATGAAATTGGATCCACACATTGTACTAAAACACAATTTTCTGTGTTGTTCTAAAAAAATAGAGCATTTGTATTCATAAATGCTCTAAATAAAAGAAGAAAAATGGAATTATCCAATGTATTCATTTAGATCTTCTATTAACACAATCAGCTGATATTGTTCATCAAATTTTAACTTTAATTCTTCTAGTTGGGTTATACTGTTTGATATAGAGTATTGTAGAGTATTGTCATAAGCAACATTAACATGTAGGTTAAATAACTGAATTCTTAAGAAGACCTTCATGATAGAATAGTAAGAACATATCATTTAATTTCCAGTTATATGCAAACCAAAGTCTAAAACATGTCATTTTTAATCTTTATTGTAGAGATTTAACATAAAAACTCCTCATACAAAAAATATTCATGTGCTAAAAACTATGTAAAAATTCTTATCCAACTGAGCAAAAATTCCTGAGAAAATTAGCGAAACAAAATGTGAATTAATTTAACAAGACCTTGCTGTTTGGGAGACACTGATTGATCCGATCCCGTGCTTCATCTGCTGCGTGCTCTACCAAGGCCAGGACATGTTCTTCAGCTGTGCTGTCTGTCAGACTGCATGCATTTCCTTCTGGTTCAAATATACAGCTATAACAAAGTACAAATTATTAAATAAATAACAAATCAAATGCACTCCTTCCCCACAAATAGGTTCTAAGCCATTGAGTTTTATGACCCCTAGGTAAATATAATGAATTTCCTGGGTAAGTCAGCATTCTTTTCATCTTACTATATTTTTTAATTTTAATATCATAAGACTACCCAGCTCCATCATGACTCTAGGTGACAGACAATATTAAGAACAAAATTAACAGCAACAACAAAGCCATCTATGAGGAGTAAAACCAACTACCCTCTCACATTTATCACTCCCACCACTTGACTTAATCCAAAGCCTAGCGAAAGATCCAGGCTTTAAGGTTTGTGGAAGGTTTAAGGAGATGGAACTTCAGACATCCAGGCTTTATGATACAAAAAGCTTTATGACTGATAATTAGCATCCTGAATTGTACCCAAAAGCCTAGGGCAGAAGTAGGCAACCTTGGCTCTTTTATGACTCGTGGACGAGTTGAAGTCCACAAGTCATAAAAGAGCCAAGGTTGCCTACTCCTGCCCTAGGGTGTAACCAGTGCAACTCATGAAGCAGAGGAATCACATGATCATACTGTGGTATGCTTATAACTTCCCATGATGCTGTGTTCTGGATTATCTGCAGCTTCTGAGTAAACTTTAAAGACAGCCACATATAAAGTATATTAAAACAAATTTAAGACCCCGTTTATATTCTTGTACTAAAATATCTTCATCTGCAGTTTACAATTAAAAAAAATATATAAAATTTTATTTTACAGGACATTTAACAACATTTAACAGTCTCATTCAGAAACTGAAGTTATAATGGTACCGAATGAAGGTGTCTTATGAACAGTCATTATTCAGCTGTCACAGTGTCCTTGCGATTATATTGCAATTGGGTCACTTCACAACCAGCTTACAATTACAATATTACAGTGTCCTGTGGTCACATGATTTATATTTGCAACCTTTACTGCTTCTGACAAAGTCAATGAGACATATAAATTGAGATAATTATTACTTTTCCAAATTAAATCTGAAAGTGTGATCATTCTTTTCTCATCTTTCATGTTTTTCTATTTTTTTTATAGATATAGATATGGGTACTCCCATTTTTTTCTCTAAAGCCACAGTTGTTTGACCAAGAATGCATTCCAACTGATTATATCATAATTTATAATATGAGTTCCTTATAAAAATATATGCATCTTTTTTCAATTTTTCATTTTTAAATGGATTATTGAAGTCATTAAATCTAGCAAATATAATGAGCTGGTCCTTGATTGCAATTCTGAATTATTTAATGAAGCAATATTAGTTGCTTAGTCAAAGTTCTCATTCTCAGAAATGCCAATTGGCTAATCTAAGTTCCAGTCTTTTGCGCCTTTGTTTTGTTACAGAAAAATGTCAAACCATTTTATTTGCATCTTTACAGTGTAAGTGACAGCTTTGCCTGCATCTATAAAAATATCCAGATATTATAGAGTACCCTATGTATATTTTATCCTTTTTTCCTGAAGGGCAATTATAAAAAAAATTAAATTTCTCTTCTTTCTAAGAATATCTCACAGTACTACCTGGCAAAAATTTTATAGTATCCTCCACTTTCAAATTTTAATTTCTTTTTAATTCCAATACTGCCTCTTTAGTCTTAAATCAGGTATAATTTATATAAAGTCATGTGAAAATGTCAAGTATAGTCATCTGAAAATGTAAATACACCACATATAAAGCTTTTCTCTTTTATTAACGTATGTGGACATATTAATATTTTATTGTCATTCAACAATATTTAAAGATGATGCAACTGTACAAAAAGCTGTATAAAATTTACTTTGCAATCATTTTTTCAACAAAATATTAAGTCATGTCATTTCCTTCTGTGGGAAAAGTAGGCAGTCCTTGATTCTAACATCTGGTACTGTTCCCTTTGGCAAAACAGCGTGCAATAGAATTTGTTACAAGTGTGTAACAAACTCTGACATTGACAGGAAGAAATTTTTCCCATTCCTTGATGTAGAAGTTTTTCAGTGTGTAATGTTTGAGGGGCTTCTTGCATGCACTGTCTGTGTCAAATCACCCCACCACATCTTCCTGGATTTAGATCCGGACTTTAACAGCCATTCCAAACCCTCCATTTCTTTTTCTTTTTTTTTAGAGCCATTCCTTGGTAGATTTATTGGAATATTTAGGTTGCCAATGTGCAATGTTTACTTTCAGTGGAGCTTCAATTTTCTGACAAATGGTCTCAAATTATCTTTAAGCACCCTCTGGTACAATGAAGAACTCATAGTGGATTCTAAGAAGGTAAGCTACTAGGCCCTAATGCAGCAAAACAGGCCCAAAGCTTAACATTTCCACCACATTTTACAATTGGTAATCAGGTTCTTCTTGTGAAATTCTGTCTTTGGTTTTGATATCTTCTGCTATTATGATCAAATAACTCTATTGTTGCCTCATTTGTCCTGAATACATTGCAAAAGTCCTTTCTTTACCTAGGTCAGCGGCTTGCAATCTTTTTTATACCCCCACCTTTAGAACGCTTCTGATATATTTTCGCACCCCTTACAAAAGTTTGAAATAACGGCAATGAATTAAGCATATACACTATAATTTTGAAAACCCAAGTTTTTGCACCCCCTGGAATATCATCTCGCACCCCCAGGGGGTGCGAGCACCCCAGGTTGGGAACCCCTGACCTAGGTGCTCATGAGTAAACTTTAATTTAGCTCTGATGTTCATTCTGCACAGCAAAGGTTTCCTTCTGGAATCTCCCAAGTAATCTAATTTCTGCAGCTTCTTTCTAATGGTGGATTCATACACTTTGATATCAATTGTGGTGAGAGCTATCTGTAGGTCACCTGATAAAATTCGGGAATATTCAAAGACTTCTTTCAGCATCTTGCATTCTGCTCTCAGCTGAACTTGGTCCAGTTGAGTTGGCAGTTGTTTTAAATCTTCTTCATTTGTAGATGATCTTCGGCAGAGAAATGAATGATGTCCAATTATTTGGTGATCTTTTAAAATCTCTTCCCAGATTCATAGACATCTGAAATCTTTTTCTGAAGGCCTCAAAGAGCTCTTTCAATCCAAGCATGGTAAAACCACACACTTCAATAACAAAGAGCAAATCAAACTAAATGTCTGAGGTTTCATTAAGACTGAATTCTTCCAGATCCCAATCTTTTAATCATTTGCACCTAATTCTAATTTTACGGATTTAAGATAGTGATAAACGTAGGAGTGCTAAATTTGCACTTGCTTAAATTATAAGATTATAGTGTGTAAATGGTGCATGATGCTTTTTATGTTATATCTCATTTATCTATAGTTGAAATGAAGATCAAATAACTTTATGTTAAAACATAATGAAAAAGTCAAAATTTCAATAGGTGTGCTTACTTTATCAAATATGGAGGTTTTTATTCATATTGTCCATATATCTCTTGGATTTCCAAAATTTCATGTACTTATAGGTCAAAATAGATCTTAAGCAGATTAAGTTGTTTTTCTACATCTTATTTACCAAAATCTTCTGATATACTTCTGAAATTTTATGCAATTCAGTTTCAATTATATTCTGAATATTCAGTCTTCAATTCTTTAGCTTCTTCATTTTACAGTTCATCTTTAGGTGCCAAATTATCATATCTATAACTGAGATCTACCTTGAGAGAATTAAAGTTGCCTTGCACTTTCTGATGTGATCAATGGATTAATTTAGAGAGATTACTTTCTATTACATATATATCTCATACAAAAGATCTTGGGATTGTGGAAAAGAACCAGAGGAATCATGCTGGGTACCTCCAACCTGAAAATCTTTCTTTCTTTTACCCCTAAAAAAAAGTATTCTTATGCTTAAAACGTCTGTGCATTACAATAAAACAAATTGTATCATTGAGAATAAAATATTTAAAATATCAATAAGGTTTGATATAAAACAAATGAACAATAAATAATTGATATAAAAACATGCAGCAAGAAATTATCATAACAGATTAACTGAATATATTTTGATAATAAAAGCTAATTAAGATGAACAGCAAGAAAAAGGAAATAGAACAAGCAAGCATCAGATACCGATGAACACAGATCAATTCCAATTATATAATCATATAATTAGAAATTAAAGGAAATCTATTGAATAAGTAATAATAGTGTAAAAAGTTCACTTATGATTTTTTGTGATGAAATGGCCTCTTGTAGTTAAACATAAGAAAACAGTCTGAAAACAGAACAGGTTCTGGCATCAAAATGGTGGACTAGCATGTAGGAAAAAATCTCATTGAAATATCGAACAAGTTGTCAGAATCCTAACTTTCTATGGGCATGGGTTTTCTTATCCTTTTCGGGTTCTGCCATACTCCAGGGAGGGAAGGGGAAGCTTGGGGTGCTGATATGTATTTCCTTTGCTTTATTTTCTGCTCTATCCTCTTTGATATTTTTCTAATGGGGTGAGAATGGAATGGGCTTCTGGCCATCTGCCTTATCTCCGTCTGTGGAAGAAATGGCATAGATACCTAACAGCCTTGGAAGCTGCACTTTATCATTCTGTTCCCACAGAATGCTTTCACACCTGCGGATTTGAACCATCCGGATGGACAGTTGGGATGGGGTTACTATGGACACTTTTGATTACTTGATTCACGTGGGAAACCCTCAGATCCTGCCTTCTATTTCTATTGTCAACATCTCCCAATAAAAGTTCCTTTTGAAATGATGCCATTTCAAGAGTTATGCTTTCTTGGGAGAACTAATTGAGGCAGGTTCTTACATAAGGCAGGATCTACAAAGTGGTCAACCCGGAGGGAAAACCTCTACCGCAGGGACTGTGCAAAAGATGTCGAACCATGGCGGTGAAAGACGAGAAGGCAACCTTGGAGGGAAAGCTCCCCCCCACAGATTGGCCTGAGCGAGAGCAGCTTGGACTCCTCTGGTTCATCCGAAAAGGCCGTGACCAGAGAAAGTCAGGAGAAACTGAGATGGTCGATGGGTGTTGGAAAGAAAGAA